AGGTGTTCTTCTGTAGATCAAAGTGGCAATTTGTTGCCTCAACACTTGTGTATGTTGTTGTGATTGTTTGATTTCTTTTCATCTCTGAATCTCTTCCACAAGAACTTCATAAACCGTCAATTTTGATTTCAAAGGTATCATCATGCGACACAAACATCTAGAATGGAAAATATAACACCTTAACCTAAATTTGTTGATTCAATATATTACCCCCAAAAAATGCGTATTTGGAATAATCCGATTTTTTGTATTAATATATATAAACAAAATAAGAAATTACTACGTGTTAATAGTGTTTAAACTTAAAAAATCTATGACAATATAAGGATAAAAATGCCATCTCACAAAATAAATACTAGGAATGTAATATAAATTAAAATGATGAAATAAAGGAAATAAAATATAGCACTTTATACCACATCTACAAACATGTTGTGTTTGGTATGTAACAGCACCGTATAGACTAGACATAATATTAAACGAGATTTTAATTTATTTGTTAGTACATCGAATATTATGTTGTCGGCCTACCATAATACTAGTTAAATACTCAATACGGTTGTCAAGGGGTCTGATACTCCTCTTCTAAAGAGGCTTCAGATCAAGGGGTCTGTTAGACCTCTTTGTTGATGGCTCCTTTTCGCGAGGACTTGATGCACTCCAACTAGTCAACCGCTGGGAAACAACGTTTTGCATGATGATGCCAATCTCATTTGCAAACGGAGAGGAGATCGCACCAAATGTGCACATATCTCCAGCTCTAGCTTGTACAATAAGCTTTTGTTTATTTTACCTGGGTCGTTCACTGATTGTTGTGGAGGTGGAGTGGTGGAAGCGTAGGAAAGAGACTAGGCCATGAATCGAGAGGGAAGGAGGAGAAACACCTGTGTCGTCGATGGAGATAAAGAAATGGGAAGAAAGGTCTATTCTTATTTGAGGGCTTGACCATCTATTAGAACTCTTAAGAGGTTTTCAATTTATCTGAGTCTTATAATGAATTTATCTGAGTTTATGTCCAAATGCTTTGAACAATATTCTCGGATTGTCACACTTATTGAAATATTTAATCATTTAATTTGAAAGACACAACCTATTCAACAACATTTAAAATTTTTTTTTTAAAAATTACATCTTTAACTTACGCAGTTTTAATTTACGTTTCCAAATAAATTCTTCGGAGCAAGCGAGTTTCATATGAAGTCCATGATAATAAAATTTAAAAGAAAACAGACTAGATATGTTTGATAGCTTGTATAATTCAAATTTTTTCCGTAGCACAAAGTTATAGTTAGACAGCATTTCCCAACACAAGGCCACTATAAATTTGCCTTAAGTACATAAATAGGGCTCCTAACAGAGTGTGTAAATGACTTCCACAAAATATGTCCCTGAGTGTTTATGAGAGGACTAGGTCGGATGTGCTAACCGTAACTTCGAATTTCAGTTTCTGGTTCAACTTTGAGAATTGGAGACTAAGAGGATTGACAACCACATTAACACCATGAGGACGAAGAATATCCACGGTGTATGATGCATTGGCCGCACCAACATTAGTCACTATCCTCGTGTACATCTTGTTTGATAGTCCGAAGAAGATCGAAAATGACGGATAGTTCAGTGCTCCTTCTAGTATACTTGATTCTCCTCAGCAATTTACTTTACGTTATAAAATCACGCCCATCTGTCGATTAGTGTATTTCAGACAACACAGATAGGGAACGTAGTCTCTAGGTTTAATGTCGTAAATCAGCCCAGGATCATTAGCCTGGAAAGGGTCGACCTAACAAGAATCGGCTGCAAAAATGTCGGCTGGAACGAATCTCTCGTCTTCAATGGTCGCATTATTGCGATTCACAATATGAGCAGTAGTCATAATTGTTGACTTAATGGCAGCAGCAGACCAATTCGAGTGTGCGCTCTTAAGCAATACAGCAATACCACATAGATGGGGACATGACATCGATGTCCCGGAAAAATGTTGAACGTATATTTTGAATTGATAATGTTTTCAACCGAGAAAGGCCATGCCTCAAGGAAGTTCACACCTGGTCCAATGATGTCAGGCGATCGAAAATTACGGATAGTTCAGTTCTCCTTCCAGTATACTTGATTCACCTGACCAATTCACATTACGTTTTAAAATGACGCTCATCTGTCAATTTATATATTTCAGACCACACAGATATCGAACGTAGTCTCCAGGTTCAATATCGTAAATCAACCCAGGATCATTAGATTTGGAAGGTTTGACATGACCAGAACATATAGCAAATTGTTAGCTGGAAGGAATCTCTCGTCTTCAATGGGAGCATATTGAGATTCACAATATGAGTAGTAGTCATCATTGCTGACTTAATGGCGGTAGCAGACCAATTCGAGTGTTCGCTCTTAAGCAATGCAGCAATACCACACAGATGGGGACATGATATCGATGTCCCGGAAAAAATTTTGAATGTATATTTTGCATTGATAATGTTTTCAATGGAGGAAGGCCATGCCGCAACGATGTTCACACCGAATCCATTGATGTCGAGCGATCGAAAATGACGGACAGTTCAGTTCTCCTTCCAGTATACTTAATTCACCTCAGCAATTCACTTTACATTGTAAAATCACGCTATTCTGTCGATTAGTGTATTTTAGACCACACAGATAAGGAATGTAGTCTCCAGGTTCAATGACGTAAATCAACCCAGGATCATTAGCCTTGGAAGGGTTGACATGACCAGAACTGACAGCAAAAATGTCGAATGGAAGGAATCTCTCGTTTTCAATGGGAGCATTATTGCGATTCACAATATGAGCAGTAGTCATCATTGTCGACTTAATGGCGGCAGCATATCAGTTCGGGTGTAGCGAGAATTCGTTACGTCTTTATGTACACAGATGGGGACATGACATCGATGTCCCAGAAAAATGTTGAACGTATATGTTGAACGGAGAAAGGCCATGCCTCAAGGATGTTCACACCGAGTCCAATAATGTCAGGCAATCGAAAATTACGGATAGTTCAGTTCTCCTTCCAGTATACTTGATTCACCTGTACAATTCACTTTACGTTATAAATCATGCTCATCTGTCGATTAGTGTATTTCAGATATGGAACGTAGTCTCCAGGTTCAATGTCGTAAATCAACCCAAGACCATTAGCTTTCAGAGGGTTGACATGACCAAACCAACGGCAAAAATCTCAGCCTAAAGGAATATCTTGTCTTCAATGGGAGCTTTATTGAGATTCACGATAGGAGCAGTAGTCATCAATGCTGACTTAATGGTGGTAGCAGACCAATTCAGGTGTGCGCTCTTAAGCAATGCAGAAATACCACACAGATGGGGACAAGACATCGATGTCTCAGAAAAAATGTTGAATGTGTATTTTGCATTGATAATGTTTTCGACGGAGAAAGGCCATGCCGCAAGGATGTTCATACCGGGTCCAATGATGTCAGGCTTCANAAATTACGGATAGTTCAGTTCTCCTTCCAGTATACTTGATTCACCTGTGCAATTCACTTTACGTTGTAAATCACGCTCATCTATCGATTTGTGTATTTCAGACCACATAGAGGAGGATCGTAGTCTCCTGGTTCGTTATCGTAAGTCCACCCAGGATCATTAGCCTTGGAAGGGTTGACATGACCAGAACCGACAGCAAAATTGTTGGCTGGAAGGAATCTCTCGTCTTCAATGGGATTATTATTGAGATTCACAATATGAGAAGTAGTCATCATTGCTGACTTAATGGCTACAGCAAACCAATTCGAGTGAGCGCTCTTAAGCAATGCTGCAATACCACACTGATGGGGACATGTCATCGATGTCCCAGAAAAATGTTGAATCTGATAATGTTTTCAACGGAGAAAGGTCATACCGCAAGAATGTTCAAACCGGGTCCAATGATGTCGGGCGATTGAAAATGATGGATAGCTCAATTCTCCTTCCAGTATACTTGATTCATCCGATCAAATCACTTTACGTTGTAAAATCACGTTCAACTGTCGATTAGTGTATTTTCAGACCACACGGATTGGGAACATAGTCTCCGGGGTTCAATGTCCTAAATCCACCCTGGATCATTATCCTTCGAAGGGTTGACATTACCAAAATCGACGGCAAAAATGTCGGCCTGAAGAAATCTCTCGTCTTCAGTGGGAGCATTATTGAGATTCAAAACATGAGCAGTAGTCATCATTGTTGACTTAATAGCGGCAGCAGATCAATTTGGGTTTGCGCTCTTATGCAACGCATCAACACCACACAGATGGGGTCATGACATCGATGTCCCGAAAAAATGTTGAACGTTTATTATGCATTGATAATGTCTTCAATGGAGAAAGGCATGCCTCAAGGAAGTTCACACCGGGTCCAATGATGTCGGGCGATCGAAAATTACGGATAGTTCAGTTCTCCTTCCAGTATACTTGATTCACTTGTGCAATTCACTTAACGTTGTAAATCATGCTCATCTATCGATTTGTGTATTTCAGACCACGGAGAGAAGGAACGTAGTCTTCTGGTTCGTTGTCGTAAGTCAACCCAAGATCATTAGCCTTGGAAGGGTTGGCATGACCAGAACCGACAGCAAAATTGTTGGCTGGAAGGAATCACTCGTCTTCAATGTCAGTATTATTGAGATTCCCAATGTGAGCATCGGTCATCATTGTTGCCTTAATGGCGGTAGCAGATCAATTTGGGTTTGCACTCTTAAGCAATGCATCAATACCACACAGATGGGGACATGACATCGATGTCCCGAAAAAATGTCGTACGTTTAATTTGCGTTGATAATGTTTTCAATGAAGAAAGGCATGGCTCAAGGAAGTTCACACCAGATCCAATGATGTCGGGCGATCGTAAATTACGGATAGTTCAGTTCTCCTTCCAGTATACTTGATTCACCTGTGCAATTCACTTTACGTTGTAAATCACGATCCTCTATCGATTTGTGTATTTCCGACCACACAGAGAAGGAACGCAGTCTCCTGGTTCATTGTCGTAAGTCAACCCAGGATCATTAGCCTTGGAAGGTTGACATGACCAGAACCGACGGCAAAATTGTTGGCTGGAAGGAATCTCTCATCCTCAATGGGAGCATTATTGAGATTCGCAATATGAGAAGTAGTCATGGCGGTAGGAAACCAATTCGAGTGTGCACTCTTAACCAATGCTGCAATATGACACAGATGAGGACATGACATCGATGACCCAGAAAAATTTTAAATGTATACTTTGCAATGATAATGTTTTCAACAGAGAAAGGTCATGCCGCAAGAATGTTCAAACCGGGTCCAATGATATCAGGCGATTGAAAATGACATCGATGTCCCGAAAAAATGTGGAACGTTTATTTAGCATGGATAATGTTTTCAATGGAGAAAGGCATGCCTCAAGGAAGTTCACACCGGGTCCAATGATGTTGGGCGATCGAAAATTACGAGTAGTTCAGTTCTCCTTCCAGTATACTTGATTCACATGTGCAATTCACTTTACGTTGTAAATCACGCTCATCTGTCGATCTGTGTGTTTCAGACCACGCAGAGAAGGAACGTAGTCTCCTAGTTCGTTGTCGTAAGTCAACCCAGGATCATAAGCTTTGGAAGGGTTGACATGACCAGAACCGATAGCAAAATTGTTGGCTGGAAGGAATCTCTCGTCTTCAATGGGAGCATTATTGAGATTCACAATATGAGAAGTAATCATCATTACTGACTTAATGGCGGCAGCAAACCAATTCAAGTGTGCGCTCTTAAGAAATGCTGCAATACCACACAGATGGGGACATGACATCGATGTACCAGTAAAATGGTTTATGTATACTTTGCAATGATAATGTTTTCAGTGGAGAAAGGTCACGCCTGAAGAATGTTCGAACCCTGGATCATTGTCCTTCGAATGGTTGACATTACTAGAAACGACCGCAAAATCGTCGGCCGGAAGGAATCTCTCGTCTTCAATGTCAGCATTATTGAGATTCCCAATGTGAGCATTAATCATCACTGTTGACTTAATGGCGGTAGCAGATCAATTTGGGTTTGCGCTCTTAAGCAATGCATCAATACCACATAGATGGGGACATGACATCAATGTCCCGAAAAAATGTCGAACGTTTATTTTGCATTGACAATGTTTTCAATGGAGAAAAGCATGCCTCAAGGAAGTTCACACCGGGTCCAATGTTGTCGGGCAATCGAAAATTATGGATAGTTCAGTTTTCCTTCCAGTATACTTGATTTACCCGTGCAATTCACTTTACGTTGTAAATCACGATCCTCTATCGATTTGTGTATTTTAGACCACACAGAGAAGGAACGCAGTCTCCTGGTTCATTGTCGTAAGTCAACCCAAGATCATTAGCCTTGGAAGGTTGACATGACCAGAACCGACGGCAAAATTGTTGGCTGGAAGGAATCTCTCATCCTCAATGGGAGCATTATTGAGATTCGCAATATGAGAAGTAGTCATCATTGCTGACTTAATGGCGGCAGGAAACCAATTCGAGTGTGCGCTCTTAAGCACTGCTGCAATACCACACAGATGGGGACATGACATCGATATCACAGAAAACTGTTGAATGTATACTTTGCAATGATAAAGGTTTCAACGGAGAATGGTTTAGCATTATTCATCATTGCTGACTTAATGGCGGCAGGATACCAATTCGTGTGTGCGCTCTTAAGCAATGCTGCAATACCACACAGATGGGGACATGACATCGATATCCCAGAAAAATGTTGAATGTATACTTTGCAATGATAATGTTTTCAACGGAGAAAGGTCATGCCGCAAGAATGTTCAAACCGGGTCCAATGATGTCGGGCGATTGAAAATGACGGATAGCTCAATTCTCCTTCTAGTATACTTGGTTTATCTGATCAATTCACTTTACGTTGCAAAATCACATTCATCTGTCGATTAGTGTATTTCAGACCACACAGATTGGGAACATAGTCTCCAGGTTCAATGTCGTAAATCAACCCTGGATCATTATCCTTCGAAGGGTTGTCATTACCAGAACTAACCGCAAAATTGTCGGCTGAAAGGAATCTCTCGTCTTCAATGTGAGCGTTATTGAGATTCCCAATCTGAGCATTAGTCATCATTTCTGACTTAATGGCGACAACAGACCAATTCGAGTGTGCGCTCTTAAGCAATGCAGCAATACCGTACACATTGGGATATGACCTCGTCGATAAAATTTTGATTTTTCTTATAATGCTCAAATAAGTAACATTTTCTATACAATTAATTTTGATGCAATACGTATCATAAACTACTTATAATAAAATGGAAGTTGTGCATTATTTTGGGGAGTTCCAACTTTTATTTTGAAATAAAAGTTAAACCCTCCATTATTAAGGCATGATAATTGAGTCACACCACCACCATACACAAGGGGTTATAAGTAAAAATTATCAAGTTGAAATCCCCTTTTCGAACGTGGATCTGTAAATGAAATGATTTGGCACTAAACTAAACCGTTTATCACTTCCATGGCTGAACTTCCTAGCCATAGGAAGGACTATATACCACCCAACACGAATCATCTGATCCCCACTCCCACCAATCAAACCATAGCCTGGACTGGCCTCTATACCAGTGATGGACGTCGTTGTGTCATTACGATAGCCACAATGGAAGGAAGGGAAACATGCAGTGCTATTTTCCCCTCTAGAGTTGCAGCAATCTGAAGCGCCTCTACAATACACCCTCATTTCCAAGTTCTCCAAGTCTCGCCCTAAAATGGATGTGATTTGCCACCATATCAGCACCAAATGGGGGTTATCTGCTGTTCCAATAGTCAACTTCATCGATTGGTGTCACGTCCTGATTAAGGTCCAAAATGTAGAGGACTTCCCAAAAGCCTGGACATGTGATTCACATTCAATCGAAGGTTTCCTATTTCGTCTATTCAAATGGTCAAGAGATTTCAATGCAACAGAAGAGTCCCAGTCACTCCGGTATAGATTTGATTACCCATTCTCCCATTAAATTTCTGCATCCCTTCTTATCTGCAAGGTATAGTGAGGCCCTTAGGTAAATATTTGGACACCGACCTCCCAACAGTCACCTTCACCAGACCCAGTTATGCCAGTATCTGTGTTGAGATAAATATCTCGGTTGCTAGGGAAAATATTGTGTGGATTGGCTCTGATAATGGTGAAGGATTCTGGGAAGAGGTTATCTATAAAGGATCCCCTAAATACCGTGTTCGCTGTCATTTGCATGGTCATGAGAAAGTTGAGTGTAATAGATTGACGAAACGACATTTTAATCCTCTAGATACCAAGAAAAAAAATACTGTACAGAGTATCCCTAACCCTCCTGATATTAATTTGAAAGTTGATGTTCAAGCTGAAGGGGAAAATGAACCAAATTTGATAGTTAGGAATGAAAATGGAAAAAAGATGTCGATATTAAAAAAATCAGTGAGGGATTTGTGGTCAATGATGACGGATTAAAAAATAAGTCTCCTATAGAGGATGACACATTTTTTGAAGAGCATAATCAAATTGAGATTAATACTACATGCGATAATAGCAAAGGAGATAGGAACTTCCATAAGGTTTCGAGTGCTGTGGCCGAAGCTATAGAACTAGAAGGGGAATTTACCATAGTAAATAGGAGGTCTCTGACTTCACCTCAAACCATGATCCCCACTCGAGAAATTGATGAAATTCCTATAGGTAACTCCTTTGATGCGTTAGTTAGTACTTTAAACTTGGAGTCTCCATGGCGGAATGGCGATGATAAAAATGTTTGTACTGAATGAGGTAATGTGTACCATTCTGATTCGGATACTCCAGACATAAGAGCCAATAATAGACGCAATGGGAAGCTTGGTCTTATCTCTGACTTTCTGGCCAGAGATATCACTCAATAACTGTTTATTGATGAGTACTTTCCTAGTTTGGAATGCTAAGGGGGTTGGTAATGCCAAAACAACCCGCCATCTTAAATTTATTTTTCGTAACTACAACATTGCTCTTCTGGCCATTCTTGAACCTATGGTACTTTTTGATCAAGCTTCTCATATTGCAAAAAAGTTTGGTCTCACACAAGTCTATTCTAATGAGAGTAAAGGAGGAAAAGTGTGGTTGTACTTACCTGGTAATCGTAACTTTAACGTGCAAGGTGCTACTAATCATTTTTTAGCTATCGCTTTGGATTGGAAGGGTGTCACTATTGTGTTGGTGGTGGTTTATGCTAAGTGTGATTATTTAATGTGGAAAACTCTTTGGTCTTCACTTGCCCCTATCTTAGCTACCAATCTACCTGTTATGATGGTAAGGAATTTTAATATTGTGAAAACCGATGAAGAAAAATTAGGTGGTGGCCCGGTTATGCGAGCTGCTAAGCATGACTTTCTGCAATTTATAGATACGAATTCATTATATGACGTCCCCTTCATAGGCTCTAGATTTACATGGTATCGTAATAGAAATGGCATTTTGTTATGGGAATGACTCGACAGGGCTCTTATAAACCATAATTGGATGGTTACTTTCCCTAACTCTGTGGTCGTTCATCTTGAGCGTAATCATTTTGATCACTCTCCCCTTCTTATTCACACCGAGGATGATAATAACAGGGGTCCTACTAGCTTTCGTTTTCAAAAAATGTGTCTTCAACTTTCGGCCTTGATTCCTATGGCAACTGAATCCTGGACGAGACCTTGCCCTTTTTTTGGTTTAGCTCGAATTTCTTATAAATTGAAGAGATTAAAGGCTTATCTTAAACTATGGAACAAAGTTGTCTTTGGGAATATTTTTCAAAAAATCAACGGCATTCATGATAAAATTCTTATCCTAGAGAACAACGTTAATCTCGCTGCTTTAAAGTGTGATTCAGATAGACTCTTACTGTAAGACAAAATTTATAAGAAGTAGCAGTCACAGGTTAAATGGTTGTCCCGTGGGGATAAAAACACTGCTTTCTTTCATGCTACTGCTAGACAAAAGAGATCGAAAGCTATGCTTCATAGCATCACTACAGAGACCGGTGTCCTTACTACCCAAAAAGATATGCAGGATGTTGCCATTGATTTTTTTAAAAAACTATCTCAAAGCAGAGGATACTACTACTGCTGATTATGGGGGATATGACATCTCTTATACCAAAATTAGGGACCAATTCTGATAATGACTTGCTTTTGAAGGAGGTCTCTGAAGCATAAATTCTTACTGCTGTTAAGGCTATACCTCAAGACTCTGCCCCAGGCCCTGGTGGCTTTCCTTCATCTATTTTTATACATGCTTGGCCTGTGGAAGTTGAAGATGTTGTAGAGGCAGTCCGCGAATTTTTTAGGGGACAAAAACTTAATGATGCTTTGGGGGCCTCTACCATTGCTTTGGTGCTGAAATCTGAGGACCCCAAGACCTTTCTAGATTATAGACCAATTAGTCTATGTCAGGTTTTTTACAAAATCGTATCCAAAGTGGTCGCCAACCACTTGATTTTGATTCTTCCGAAATTAATTTCTATGAATCAGGATGGTTTTGTCACTGGTAGAATGATATCTGAAAATGTGGCTCTAGCTCAAGAGTTAGTTCATAATCTAAATAAGTGTTCCCGTGGCGCCAATGTGATTATGAAAGTGGACATGGCTAAGGCTTTCGATAGGGTCTATTGGAACTACATGTTAGAAGTGTTGAGAGCGTTTGGATTTGCATATTCCTGGATTTCTCTTATTAAGAATGCTATCACTTCACCATGGTTTTCTGTTAAAATTAATGGTATCTTCGCTGGTTTCTTCACTCTATCTTGTGGACTCGGGCAAGGTGATCCATTATCACCTCTTTTATTCATACTCAGTGAAGAGCCACTTAGTAGGGCCCTTACAAAACTACTGGCTGATGATAGCACTACTCCTTATCAAGGTCCATCTATATGTACTCCCATATCACACCTCCTCTATGTAGATGACTTTTTGGTGTTTACTAACAGCACTCGTCATAGCCTTAATAACTTGATGGAATTTCTTCGACGTTATGAAGCTGCTTCTGGGCAGCTTATTAATGTAGGTAAGAGTTCTTTCATAGTCTATAAACGTGTTACTGCTTCTAGAAAGCGCATCATTGCATCTACTACTGGCTTCAAAGAAAATTCACTCCCCTTCACTTATCTTGGATCTTCTCTTCATAACAGAAAACCAGTCTCTCCATGTTCACTCCCGTACTTGATAAAATCAGGAAGAAATTAGCGGCATGGAAAGGTAAGATCCTATCAATAGGTGGAAAACTTACTCTTATCAAGTTTGTACTAAGTTCCATACCCATCTACTTATTTACTATGGTCACTCCCCCCATTAAAATTGTTAAAGAAATTCATGCCCTTTTTCCCAACTTTTTTTTGGGGGGAAACAAAAGAAGGATCTAAACGTCATTGGACTTCTTGGAAAAACATTTGTTTTCACAAGAGGAAGGATGTTTAAGTATTCGTACTCTTTTTGATGTTATCCATCGCTCTAGTGCAAAATGGCATGACGTATCGTTACATCACCGAAAGTATCTCAGTCATCACCTTGACCTAGCCCACATTTTTGTAACTATAGACTCATCACTTTGGAGGCATATCTCTCATCATTTTCCATTCATTTTAGAGCACAGCAGATGGCTGATCTGAGATGGCAGTGCTCTATTTTGGTATGAATTAACCTCTCCAAGCCCATGAAACGCCTCACTCGGTTGGACCATAAACACCCCTAATCTAAGACTTCATGACGTTGTTTTAAATGGAAAATGGAACCTGGATAAACTTTTTTATTTGGGTGGCTTTCCTTTAGTAGAGAATATAACTCATTCCCAAGTTACGCTTCGCAGTGGTATAGATGAATTAATATGGCACCCTTACAGCAATGACATATTTTCCACGAGGTCAGCTTGGTCCCTTCTCAGAAATACTAGATCTTCCTCTCTGCCTTATAAGATCATTTGGAACCCTACCATGCCATTAAAAATCTCATTTTTTTGTTGGCGGCTTTGGCATAATATGGTCCCTATGGATGAAGTGGTTTGGCACGATGGAGTTCCTATCATCTCCAAGTGTCAATGTTGTTCAAATGGTCATGCTGAAACAATAGATGATGTATTCGCATCCAGCT